AATTGAGATATAAGTTAATTAAAAGAAAAAAAAACTAACTAGTGAAAAACAAGAAATCTACTAAACTGGGAAATTAGACAGGACGCATACTTGAACTTGGTGTAAATCTTTATCAAAATTACACTAATAGATAGAGTACGAAATGGGCCGGGTCAGGTCAGGCTTTTCTAGGCCCGAAACCAAGTCTAAAAAATTTTATTTAAGCCTAATTAAAGCCTGAGCCCAACAAAAAGCCCACTAAACAAACTGGGTTGGGCTTTATTTTAAATTAGGCCCAAGCCCAACAAAAAGCCCACTAAGCAAACCGGGTCGGGCTTTATTTTAAATTAGGCCCAGGCCCGGTCTGGCCTGCTAATTCATATAGATTTTGACTAATTCTATAGTGCAAGGTCCTAATGATATATGATGTCTGTAACTACACAGATACTTATGTAGCTTATGTAAATTAAAGATTAAGGGCAAGAAACAAATTATTGGAATTCTAGTAATTTTATTGCATTTGTATGAATCTTAGTTATTTTAATTTATTGGATAATTTTTTAATGCTTTACTCCGTGTAATACATTGTTTAGAAAAATTACCAAAACCCTAAGGTGATAAACTAAGCTAATTTATTAATGAATGTCAACCGCATGCATATAGTATAATTTGAACGACATTGGTGTAAAATTACTGAATGCACTTCAAAAAGCCTATTATTCAGCTTTCTCCAACTTCAACATTATAATCGTATTCTAAATTTGTTAGCCATTCTATTATTCCAATAATTGTTTAATACGTAATGACGTAAGAATTAAATTTGCATTTTTTTTTTCTTTTTTTTTTTTCAATCCGTATTCTATCTTGGTAATAAAAAAAAATTGAAAGCGTTGTCTATTTTTTTGTAGAATTATACCGATCAGCTAATATTATCATTAGTTCTTTAATATTTTACATTAAAAAAACCTTACGTGAATAAACTGCTAGCTTTAATCATATTGCATGTCATTCCTTAATTTTTTCCAGCCTTGTTCTTTTTCATTTCTTAACCAGTCTTGGCCGCACACTAATATTTCAGCAGTTTCCGGAGTGAGATTTGACTGTTCATCATCAATAATCCTACCTGCGATACTAAACAC